GATAGATATTTTTTTCAGGTGTACTTGAGAAGAATGTAAGAAATGAGAGAAAGAGAGAAAAAAAAGTACAAACGAAGATAACGAGAAAAGCAATGCAATGCGTAACTTTTGTAGTCATAACGAAAAAAAAGGAGAAGAAGATAACGAAAATGGTGGAAGACCGGTGTCTTCGTGATGAATTAAAGTAGAAATGTGTGTACGTAACTTTTGTGATCATACTATCTTTTCCTTCCTCAATTATAACACGTAACAATGATATCGATATTGCATGCATAATATATATATATATACATTATAATGTTTAAAAGATATTGCATATTTAAAATTCTATAATAGTCTGTAATATATCCCAAAATAATATACTTATCTATTAATTGGTTATTATTGATCTGACTAAGCTATCAGTTTTTAAAAAAATGACTCGATGTACAATTAAAGATTTTTAGAAAAAACTTCGATGGTTTTCTCAAAACTAAAAACTTCGATATACCAGTGAATCAAAGCCTTTATGTATACGATCTTTCGCGAAACCAGTTGATTTTCTGACATGATCATACAATTTTGTTTTTGCCTTAAATTTTTATTTGCGTATCATCGCACCGATTCATATGTATGGTATTATATGAATGTTATACATGTACTCTTTATTAAAGTAAAACCAAGATAGGAAATAAAGCTAAATTAAAAAAATAAACAGACATGCTTGTCTTTGTCGAACACACAGATTTATTACACAAGTGGTGCCAAACTTAATTAAGATCTATATTTTAAAAACGATTGAGAGATTTTTAAATGTTATCTTTTGTGTTTGGTAGGCCATTAAAGCTCCAATTATTTGTCACTAAGTCAGGGAAGCAGACTAAGCATCAAGATGCCACTGCATAACCTTATGGACCCCTCCCGAAAATAAACACATAGTAATTTATACAAAAAAAAATAAAAACAAAACACTTATAAATAAAACATTTTTTTAAAAAATTAAAAGAAAAATCATACATTTTTGTTCCACCTATATATGAACCTAACTCATAGGGGAAAAAGATATTGATTCTTTTGCAGACCCATTAGCATGCATGTACAAAAAGATGTGAAAATGGGTTCGAAATTATGTTTTGGTCCTGACCGGTTTGTATAATTCTGGATATGCATAATTTTTTATTTTCTTCTAAACCTTTTTTTTTAAAATTTTTCTATAACCAGGGTGTTCGGGTTTTTATCATCCGACTAATTCATGAGGATGAGTGTAGCCGTCGAGTAATCCATTCACCGAATTTTCTAATGGGCCTAAAGCATGACACCCATTTCGACTGGCTAAATGAAGGTGAAAATGTTTTCAGGAGGAATCAAATTCAGGTTAAAAGGGTTTTTTTTAGTTCAAAGAAGTTTTACAAAAATGAATGTTTTTTTTATCTATAAAACATCATTCAATTAATTAAAATTTAACTTATAGTATGAAGTTACATATGGTGTTAATGTACATGGAAATCTCAAAACAAATATTAAAAATAGGAAATCTTATTTATCTCTAAAAACTTACTATTTGATCGATAAATCATAAGACTCTTTCTAATTATAGTATGCAGAAACGATGCAATGATATTATTTCAACAACGGACCGAATAAAAGACTAACCGAGACACGCGTCGAGACCAGAGGGTATAGATATTTCCTCAATAACGTCATGTCCTGCGTAATAAAGAAATACAAGCGCACGATAAGGTCCCTATCGTTTTGTCGTTAAACATTTCG